GCCTGGGTTGGTGGCCCCAGGCCTGCAGGCCCTGGCCTGCCTGGGTTGGTGGCCCCAGGCCTGCGGGCCCTGGCCTGGGTTGGTGGCCCCAGGCCTGCGGGCCCTGGCCTGGGTTGGTGGCCCCAGGCTTGCGGGCCCTGGACTGCCTAGGTTGCTGCCCCAGGTCTGCGGGCGCTGGCCTGGATTGGTGGCCCCAGGCCTGCGGGCCCTGGCCTGGGTTGCTGCCCCAGGCCTGCAGGCCCTGGCCTGCCTGGGTTGCTGGCCCCAGGCCTGCGGGCTCTGGCCTGCCTGAGTTGCTGGCCTGCCTTCCTCCTGGGCTGCAGAGGCCTGTCACAACCAGAGGCTGGGTACTTCCCAGCCCAAGGATCCAGGAGTATGTATTTGGGAAGGGACCCCAGGCAGAACATGTGCTCCCCCCTCCTCCAACAAAGCTGGGTGTTACTGCCCTGCTAACCCGTATTCTCAACACCACCCCACAGGGACTCCTCATCCTCTGCATGGCCTGGGGCCTGTTCAAGCCTTTATGCTCCCGTTGTAGCAGGTCCCACCGCTGACATTTGCTTTCTTTGTCCCCCCTCCTCCAGGCCCAGTTGACTCCGCTGTACCCAAGGACAATGGTAAAGTCTGTCCTCCTGGGGTCCAAGGCTGTGAGTGGCAGGCTGGGGGCGGGAACTTCTGCATCTGCTGAGATGGCCCCCATCTCCACCCACCCACTCCTGCTCGCTAGTCAGCGAGGCAGAAGCCGCAGGCCGTTCCCTCTGTCTTTGTCTTTGAGTCCACTCTCTTTTCCCACCTCCCTCTCACGGAAAGGCCCAGCGGGCGCGTCCAGGCTCAGGGGCTCTCGGCAAACGAGATAAGCTGTTCTTTCAGCCCCTCGCAGAGGCTGGCGCTCGGGCCACGGTCGTATGTTGGGACTGGGCTTGCCCGTGGACACGGCGTGACTGTTGGGCAAGGGGAGTATGAAGAGTGGACGAACGTCCAGCTGAGGGGGAGGGACGCCGGCCGTGGCATGCTCACGAAAGTCGCAAAATAAATGTGCGCCTAGTGCCGCCAGTGGCGCGTCCTCTGAGGGCCCCTCCCCCTGCAGCCCAGCTCTCCTGCCTGCCACAGATGTTCCGCGTGGTCATCGACCGTGGTTACCTCCGGAGGCTCGGCTACTCCTCCTGGGACGTCCAGGTGGGCGACGACCCGTGTCGTCCCCGAGTCACAGGGCGCTACCTGGTCTTCAGCATCCCCTACGGCCGCTGCGGCACCGTCAGACACGTGAGCGGCGGGCCCCGCGGTGGGTGGCGGCCGGGGAGGCGGGGTGGGAGGAGCCCAGTGCCTGGGTAGGGCCAGAAGAAAGGTGCCAGCCGTGACGTGACCTGGTTTCTAAGCGAGTGTGACCTGGAGCAGCCACTAGCTTCTCTGACGCTTTTAGGCCTTTGGCCACTTTGCGGAGAGTTGGGGATACACAGTAACCAGCTGAGGCCTGAGGCCCGTGGGGGTGGGGAGATGAATGGGTGGGTGCGCGGGCGCTCTGCTGTTCTCTGGGTGCGCGGGCGCTCTGCTATTCTCGGAGCCTGACAGCCAGAGCGTCCTTCACACAGCTTCCTTCCTGTGCCTTAGTGAAAACCTACCTCGTGCCAGCTTGGTGTTGGGGGACAGGGCGAGGGGGCGCAACAGATGATTTGTCTGCTTACTCCTGCCTCTCACCGGTAACTAGTTGCTTCCCAGCGTAGAAAGCAAATGTCCAGGGCATGTCTGTATGAGGCAATGCGTGTGTTCATGTCACCTTCCTTAGCTCACTTACTTCGGACAAAGCCATGGCACTCGGGAAGCAAGCGTAGGCAAGATATAAGAATGTACGACTCAGTACATTCCACAGTGTAACGTGTTCCAAACCAAGGCCTGCATGCTCTTCCTCTACTCTCTCACAGCCCTGTTTAACACACACACACACGCACGCATGCACACACATGCACACACGAGCACACACACACATGCACACACCCCTGCACGCATGCAGAAACACTTGAGGCTAAGTTCATGCGAATGGTCCGCGTGATTCCAGATAAGCCTCAACACTTTACCTCACCTTGAGTCTACTTGGTCACGCACACCTGGGTCCTTCTCACCCTCCAACGTGTCCTTGGGGAGGCCGAACCTTGGGGCATCCCTCAGGGCGATGGGAGGAGGCCGCCAGGGACAGGGCCGCCCTGCCTCAGCCCTGTCCAGTCATGTTGAATTTGAAGGAGCAAGGCTGAGGGCAGAGGCCAGCATGGCCAGGCCCATGACCCACACAGAACCTGGGCTGCGCTGGCTCTCGAGTAGGGAGGAGCCAGAAGAGAGGATGGGGCTCCTCAGGGAGGAGTCTGCGATTTTCTGAGACCATGTGGCTAAGGGAGTGGAGGGTGGGGAGGACTTTGGCGGCCAGGATGGACCCCTGCCCCACCTCACACACCAGAGCTTGGCCATCAGAGGAGGAAGGAATCCTGGCTCATACACTGGGGCCTCCTGCTTGCACCCCGACTCCAAGGAGCACAAACATCCTCCGTCTTGGCATTAGGTACCACAGAGCCAGGCCCAGGGCTCCTACCGCCCAGCTGTCACAGGCTGGCGCCAAGTAGCAGGAGGCTGAGGACAGAAAGTGCTCAGGGACTCCGAGGTGCTGGCCATCAACTCTCCTCTCATCCTTCCAGGAAAGCCCCAGCTCCCTCAGCTACTCTAACTCCATCAGAGGCCGGACACGGGGCCACCCTGGCCGAGTGGTTGTGCGGCACAAGGTTCCTCAGCTGAAGTTCGCCTGCAGTGTGGAGGGCCCAGCTGCTGCTAAAATTGAGCCTGGGGCTCAAGGCCCGGGAGCAGGTGCCAGCTACGACGTGTCCATATCCTTCCTGGAGTTGCCCGTGTCCCCGGATGTGGGGAGCTCGCGACCGTACTATAGCAGGCCCAGGAAGGAGGTCTTCCTGCAGGCCACACTGCACAGCTCCGACCCCAGCCTGAGGATCTTCGTGGACACCTGCGTGGCTTCTCCAGATGCCCAAGACTTTACAACTGTAAAATACGATTTGATCCAGCAAGGGTAAGGAAAACGGAATGCCCCCTGGTCGATAGTGTGGTCACGTAGCATTCCTTTGGGGGCGGTAGCTTCTCCCCGGTACTCCCAAGTCTTAACACTGGGCAAGAGTCCTCAGAGACCTCACCATCTCTCTGATGCCACCCAGTGGGGAGGAGAAAATAGCTCCAGGCAGCCTCGCAGCTACACTGAGTCCCAGAGTGCTGGGCAGAGCCCGGGCCGTCTCCGACGCTGGTCCTCTGCCCGCTTGCCTCTGAGTTTTGTGCTCTGTTTGGCTACACTGACGGGTGGGTAGAAGAGCCCAGACTAATGGCGGTAAGGTTTATTCTGGCTCCTTTAGTTAAATACAGGACTTGCCAAGGTAGAGCTTCAACAGTTATTCTTCATAGCATCCTAGTCACCTGACAGAGACAACATGTGCGTGACTGGGAAGCTGGCCAGCAGGACAAAAGCAAAACCCGTCACTAACGCTGGGGTATGAGCCTCAAAAAACATCTTGGTGCCAAACACCAGCAGCGGGCCGTGCCTCCCACAGGTGGTGCGGGCCGTGCCTGGGGGTGCACAAATGTGGCACAGAAGTGCCCGAGTGAGAAAGCACTTGCCTTTCAATTCTCCTTACACACTCAAGGAGCGAGGCACGGTTTGACACCACTCCTGACACCTTTTGCTTTTTGCTTTAGGTCTAATCAGCTCTTATTTCTCTAGTTTCCTAAGGTAGAAACTTCGATGATTGATTCTAGACCTTTCTGCTTTTCTATCACATCCATTTTAATGCTACAAGTTTCCCTCTACACGCCACTTTCACTGCACTCCACGCATTTTGATAAATCGTGTATTCATTTTCACACTTTGTGATTTTTTTTTTGACTTCTCTTTGAGACTTGGTCTCTGACCTACAGGTGACTTAAAAGTGTGTTATTTAGTCTCCAAATTTGGGGGAATTTTCCATCAACCTTTCTGTTACCAATTTCTGCCTGAATACCATTGTCACCTGAGGATGTAGTTTACGTGGTTTCTAGGTTTTTAAACTGTTAAGGTGTCTTATTATCCAGAATGTCCTCTGTCTTGGGGGACAGTGTATGTGGGCTTAAGGAAAAAGTGTATTCTGCTGTTGGATGGGATGCTGTATGAATGTTAATCAAGTATAGCTGATCAACAGTGCTATATAGGTCATCTGTGTCCTTCCTGGGTCTCTGCCCACTGGATTTGTCTACTTCTGATACAGGGATGGTGACATCTTTGGCTATAATGATGGGTTGCCACTTTCTCTTTGGAGAGCTATCAGCTTTTGCCCAGTGTGTTTTGATGCTGTTGTTAGATGCATACATTTTAAGGATTGTGTGTTTTCTTGGAGGCCTGAACCCTTTGTCAGTATGTAATGTCTCTCTTTGCCTCTGGTATTACCCTGGCTCTGAAATCCATTTTGTCTGAAATTAATATATTTAATCCACTTTATTTTTATTTCTATTAACATGGAAAAGTCTCTTCTCATCCCTTTCTTTTTTCACATCTTGAATATCTTTTAAGTTTATTGAAGTAAAACATTTAACACATTAAATATAAATGAGCAAAAGACAATCCACAAAAGAGCTCATCTGAATGGCTAATCAGCAACCCAATCTCTCTAGGAAACAGAGACAGAAAAATGTAAATTAAAACAAAAAGCGTTTCTCTTTCGTAACCATCACATTGGTGGAAGTCAAAGTCTAGCAGTAATTTTAGGGAAGTGTAGGAAAATGGTATTTTAATGCACTGTTGGCCATATTCCTTTTAACTTGTCTATGTCTTTAGATTTGAAGTGGCTTTCTTATAGACAACATATTGTCGGATCTTGTGGAGGTTTTTTATTCTACTCTGGCAATCCCTTTCTAGGGTTGGTGACTGTGATTACTCACATTAAAAGTAATTTTGATATAATTGGATTAAAATCTCCCGTTTTGGTAACTAGTTTCTATTTGTTGCCCTTTTTCATTGTCTCAGACCTCCTTTTACTGCCTTCTATGGTTTTGAGAATTTTATAGGTCGACTTTAGTGAAGTATTGTTCAAGTTTGATTATTTTTCAATTTTTACTGTATTATTTTCTACTGAGGTAACACTGGTTTATAACATTGCATATGATTCAAAGGTACAGGTGTACACCTATTCATATGGATGTTGCCACACCCACAACCAAAATATCCGTAATTCTCCACTACAGTCCACTGTGCCTGCTCCCCTCTCGCCCACCCCCCACCCCACCCACGGCCTCAGGCAGCCTTTAATTGAGCCTTTTATATTATTCACCTCATCTGCTTTTTTGTTGTATCTTTTAAGCTTCTTTCTATAATAGCTTTCTTTGCTATTTTTGATGATTGTGCTAGATTTATAATATATGTTTTTAATTAACTAAGAGCACTTTCCAATTATACAAACCCACCTTTCACCTTCCCTTTTGACAGAACAGAGTAGGCCTTCTGAAGACAACAGCTCCCATTTAATTACCTTGTTTTATTTGTCAGTGTGTTTATTTTATACTTTCCTTTTATATCTAGCCAGAAATAGTGGTCTTTCAGCTCAGAGTAGAGTCATAAAGTTTCTTTACAAAAGAACGAGTGAGTAGTGAGAAGTCATGTTTGGAATTCAGGGGCTAGGCCCCAGCCTCACTATTTGCTTCACGTTAACAATTTTGGCCTGGGTTTTTCTTCCCACCAGATGCATCAAAGACAATACCTATGTCAACCTCCACTCCCATCAGAAGAACACAGCCCAGTTCAAGTTCAGCGCCTTCAGCTTCCTCGACAGCTATGATGTGGTCTATGTTCAGTGTAAGGTTGCTGTGTGCAAAGCAGGTGACCGCTCCTCCCGCTGCTCCCAGGGCTGTGTAGGACGGAGTAACAGGGGTTCAGGCCCCATGGAGTCCACAGAAGAGCAGGCCGAGCACTTAAAAACAGTGGGGCCACTGAAAATCCACAAAGGGATGGGTCAGAACAAAGGTCTTGTGTGATTTCTCCAGTTTGTATACGAATCTGTTAGACATTAGAAACCAAGCCTATTCCTTTTCAATAAAGTAATAAGTTTGAGAAAACAAAAGTTGCGCGCATAGAGAAAGGTGAAAGAAACAGCGAGACAAGTTTTCTGAGGTTCATTAATTAAACTTCTAAAGTAACTTCTTTTTGCAGACTAGAAATAGTGCACTTTCTAAGTCTTCGCTAAGAAGACCTCAGTGGCTGTCTTAAAGGGTACGGAATGTCACCAAGAGCACTTACCTCTACAACACAGTGCCAGTTTCAAGAGCTTTTTTAATTGACTCCTTAATATTCAGATGCTAGTAGGTGGATCTTTGTGTTTCTGTTCTTCTGGTGTGTGAATTTATTTTAAGATCTCATCAAGAGTCTTAAGAAAAATAAAGTACCTGTTAGGAAACTATTTTTTTTATTATTTTTTTTTAACTGTAACTGGTGAATAAAATCAAAACTTCGCTTACCCATCAAAACAAACTCTTGCAAAGGGAATAATTGGATCATGACTTTGTCAGATTTAGGTTACAGTTTACAAATAAGTTGTAATAAATTATTATGTAATAATAATAAATTATTATAAAAGAATACAACTCGCAACACCAGGTGTTAGAAATGCGAGACGGGGGAGCGGGCACAGGGCCTCATGCCTTGCCCAATGCCCCCTCCCAGCTCGGCCCCCTGCTCACCAGCGCAGGTGCTCTCTAAACCCCATCTTGGGGTTCTGGGAGAGGCTTTGTCCATGGGATGACTGATGAATCTGCTGGGGATTGCCCCAAACTCCAGCCCCCGTTCCCTCCCTGGAAATCAGGGGGTACCACTACTCACGGTGGGCTCCCTGGGCCTGCAGCCCCCACCCTCAGATGATTCCCCAAAGGTCACCTTTGTGAGCGTAACCCCAGGTATGGTGGAAGGGGATTTGTCCAATAGCAGGGTAGTCATTTCAGGGCTGAGGACAAGAGGCCAGGCGGTGAGCAGAGATGTCCCTTTGCCCACGTCGCTCAGGAAATTCCGAGGCTGAGGGCTCTGGGCCAGCACCGGGACCAAGATGGATTGTACACTCCTTATTTAATCACACCCAGTTCCCCACCTGCTCCCCGAAAACCAGGGCAGCCCCCACTTTACCTTATCTCTGTTTTTACCTTAACATGAAGAGGCCAGACAGGCTCAGGGTCCTCAGATTGTGAAGATTTGAACAGATTTGTTTTTCCTGTCAAGAAACATTCAATAGCAAAAGTTAGACCGTGGGGTCTCACCTTCAAGAATTTGCTGCCGTTTTTGTCAATAGCACACACAGGGTGCAGGTGCTTTGGGGCCAATTCGCCAGGGAGCAGGGGGGCGGAGTTTTGGTGGAGCCCCGAGAGCTCCAGGAACACCGGTGCAGAAGCCATGGCCGCTGCTCAGCGTTTGGGGGGGAAGGGGGTAGGGGGGCGGGGAGCAGGCGCGGGGCAGGTCGAACTGCAGCCTGGAAGTACCAACAGGTGCAGGCGCTAACCCAGGAGAAACCCCTCCCGGGCTCAAGGATCAGCCCAGGGACTCCCGGCAACAGAGGCTCTTCCAGAGAAGCCTGCCCTGCTCCAGATGACACCCCACGCAGCCGCCAAGCAGAAGTGCGGCTCCCAGACTTCCCCTCGCCCCTCCTAAGTGGTGTCGGAGGAGGCAGAATGGGAGACTGCGATCCCATGGCGTCGCCTGCCCCCCTCTTCACATGGAGGCTCAAAGCTGAACGTTCACCCCCCGCCCAGCAGGTAGGAGGTCCCCCTTTGGGTCTGTTCTGGGGGGGTGCAGAAGAGGACTAGGAGAGAGGACCTCCAGTGCCCCCCTCAGGCAGTGAGGCGACTCCACCTTCCCGGAGCTGCTCCGCTTGCTCCAACATGCAGCCGCAGGGAGAAGGAGAAGGGAGAAGGGTCGGAGCGACGCCGAAAGCCCGGCTCAACGCAGCGCTGCCGCGCCCGCCCGCCAGCATGGCGCCCACACCCGCGGGCGGGCGGCGTCTCCCCCACTCCAGACCGCTGCCTCGGCCAGTTCAAGCCTCCAGCCAACAGCCGGCCTGGCCCGGAGGCAGAGGCAGGTCAAAGTGGGGGCGGGGGCTGCCGTGAGGGGTCTCCAGCGCATCCTCTCCCTCAGCCCCCACCGCTGACAGCTGCCTCCCTGCCTGTTTTAAATTACGGGGTTCAAGGGTGAAGGTGACCTGCCGTGCAGACCCACCACTGAGGGGGGAGGGCTGAAACCCAGGCCCAAGCTGCAGCCGGGACCTTTGTCCCCCTCGTCATCTTTTGCCAAAAGAAAAATCTGACTGACGTGGTGAAGTACTGTGCAGTGAGGTGCAGTGAGGTGCATTGCCACAGCCAGGCCCCGCCACAGGGGGTGCTGGGTCCCTGCTGCTGTGGTTGTGCCCTGTCTAGAGAGTCGCAGTATTTGGTGGTTTTCTTAGCGCCGGGTGGTGAATTGCTCAGGCTTTTTGCACCACAGGCTTCTCTGGCCCCCACCTGGGGCCTTGGTCAGCCCAGGCACAGGCTGGAGGTGCACCCCAGGGCGGTGGGCGTGTCAGAGCACACCCCGGGGACAGGGGTGAAAGGGCAGCGCTCGGGGAGGGGGCTCTTCTGGAGGGCGCGTGCCTGCAGAACAGGTGAGGCCAGGAGAGCTGGTGGGGAGCCCAGAGAAGGGCTGGAGATTCCGGGCTGGGCGCCTCCCCAGGCTCCCCGCCCGAGACTGGGGCCCTGCGCCTGGTCCCCCACCACACTTAGCAGGTGTTCTGGCCCTGCCTCTGCATCACCCCCACCCAGGGCCGGACAGCAGGGCTGCACTGGGTTGCCCGGCAGGGCTGGCGGAGTGACCGGCGGCCGTTCAGCTCTGCCAGGCTAGTTTTCAGCGCTCTGATCTGCCGGTTCTCCTTAAGTTCTTTGCATCCTCACATTAGGCTAGAGAAGAACTTCGCGGTCTTTCCATGAGGTTATGTGGATAGATGTAGACGGGGCCCACTGCTTGGTTTCTAGCAAAAGTCGTTGGCAGGTGCTTAGAAATAGTGAAAGGAAAATGGAGAATGTGTGTTTTGATCTGGAGCTGGAAATCGTGTGCCCCTAACTATTCTAGCCTGTCCACTGGGTGCTGCCTTTCCCCCCAACATACTGCCTACCCCTGGGTACCCCACCGCCTGTCAGATTCACCTGATGGGGGTGGGGGATGCAGACCGCCTGTGGCCACGCAGGACACAGTTGCTTGTCGGGACACAGGTCAGGACGTGACCCTACGTGTGTCCGAGGGCATGAGGCAGAGTTGCTGTGTTCACCAGAAATCTAGCACTAGATGTGCTGTGCACCAAGGATGAGCAGCCACATAAGTAAAAAAAGTAAGTCAGAACCAGTTACTCCTGGTGGGACTCTCCTCCTGACTTTGGCGCCCGATAGGAAGTGAAAGAACTGCTGTTTGATCCCATTGACCCAGAAGCTGCCTCCTTTCATCACCAAGTTTTCCTTCCGAAGCCCTCCTCTAAGTCTGTCAGTGTGGGGGCTGCACTAAAGCAGAAAGGCATCTAAATAAAGGTCGCTCTTCTCTGGATCACCCCGAGTTTCAGAAAGGAGAACCGTGTGAGGGTTCCCGTATCTGCTTCCACCAGCTAGAGCTGGAGACTGCTTTTCTTCAGGAAACCCTTTTTCTTTTCACTTACTGTTTACTGAAAGGGGCTGATGTTAATGCAAAGGGCGTGCTCGATTCCTTTACTCTTGGGAGGCTGCAGCCCTTTAACCGAGCTCACCCACCCACGCTCATTCCGCCAGCCAGCCATCCTGCCAGGAAGCACAGACTGAGCACAGGACAGGAGGGCCTGGCCCTCTGCAGGGCCCCTTCCTCATTTATTCATCACAAGGTGAGCGCCAGGTGGCAACCAGGAAGAGGGGCCCGCTTGAGGCTGAACCTTTCGGCTAGCAGCCCTGCAGCTTCTGGTACTTGTGGTCTGTTCTCCGAGCCACGGCGTGCCTCACTGTGAGTGCGGCCACCATCACGGCATTCAGCGCCAACACCGTGAACGACAGCACGTGCAGAGGCTGGAAAGTCTGGTCCTGCGTTCCGGCTACCTGGGTGCGGTGCTGTGGCTCTGTCGTGGAAGACAAGATCAAAGTCATTTCTGGGCACTAGGCATTGCAGAATGCTCACGAGCTTACTTTTCTACAAAGCTACGAGACTCGTGCATGAGTTACTATATAATAGGTAAAGTCAACACAACATACAGAAGCAGCTCCCAGACATCTGAATGAGCTTCTATTTGTTTCATTTCAAAGACAAGATGTCTGGCACTTATTTGTCTCAGTGACTAGCTTAGTTTGGTTTCCTGGCGTAAGATAAAAATGACAATGTTGGTTTGTTTGTTGATGGTCCCTGTTTTCTGTCATTATGGACATGTGTTTGATCAACAGGGAAATAATCAGGTCTTCTCTTGAAACAGAAAGGGATATTTTGCTCATATGGAGGATTTGTGCACAAGGTTCATTTATAAATTTTCAACCCATTTCAAGCTAAAATCTATAGACACATCATGCAAGTCTTTGTAGGGAACGTGTTTATAAAATCACTGAATTTAATTTTTGATTGCTTGTGTTCTTATGTCATAGTAACAGAATCCTATTCCTTCAAAGTCACGAAGATGATAATGAATAAAGGTTCTTTTATGTCAGGATTCTTCTTGCATAAGGTAAATTCTTATGAACAGCTTTGACTTAATTGCAGTTTTTCCTAAGCCATGTAACTCTGGGTTGCCCTTGACTTTCTTGGGTAACAAGGCTGAGCTGAGATTTCAATCCCTTAAAAAGATGCACAGTTGCTTTGCAAGCTTTGCAAGTGTGACATCTCTGTTTATTCACTAGTTATTTTTAATTTTTAAAATATATTCATTCCATCATCCTTCATTTTGGTACAATGTATAAGAAACAGTTTGCCAAGCAGGTGATTGCTTGTGTGGGTCACTAACTCCTGGTATTATACTAAGAATTAAAATGCATTGTTTTGGATTCAGTTATCAGCGATAGTGTCTGTAATAAGGACTCAGGAAACCAAGGGAACTGAGGATGTTAACATTTATACTCAAAGCTACATGAATAATGGCAAACCATCACTGTTATTGCTTATTAGAAGCAAGTAGTGTGCTTCTAATACATGAAATTTACTTACTTCAGACTCATGGAAATAAAAATGCATCTGTGTGGCCCTCCCTGGTGGCACAGCGGGTTAAAGCGTAGCACTGAGAAGCTGGCTGTGGCTGTTTCAGTACAAGTTCAATTCCTGCCCCGGAGGTGACCACATGGCGCGGCAGACCTCTCCTGACCCGCCCACTGCTCCCCTCAGCAGTGTAGTTTGTCCATCTGCCTGTTCTGCTCCCCACTCTGTCTCTGGTGAATCCTCTCACTACCCCCGCACCTCTGGCCTGTACCCTAGTTCTGTATGCATAAATAAATAAATCTTTAAAAAATAAAAATATCATTTATCTGTGGATATATAGCAACAAAGGGAACATTTCTTTAAAAAAAAAAAAAGTTAATCTGGTGGCGCAGCGGGTTAAAGCACAGCACTAAGAAGCTAAAGCCATTTCCACATGAGTTCGATCCCCGCCTGACCCGGAGGTGACCCACAGGGTGCAGCATTCCTCTCCTGACCCTCCCGCTGCTCCCCTCAGCAGTGTACTTCGTCCATCTGCCTGTTCTGCTCCCTGTTCTGACTCCGGTGAACCATCTCACCACCCCTGTACCTCTGGCCTGTGTGCCAGTTCTGTATGCAGAAATAAATAAATCTTTTTTAAAAATGTAATCTGTGTGCCTAAGATGCTTAACTTACTTAGGGATTTTCAAAACCCTAAATAACATAAAAAGCAATGCATCTCTAAACTCAGTGTGTTTGATAAGGTATTGATTTGAGCAGCATTTTATGAATCACGAGGAATTTTTAGATCATCAAGAAGTTTTTTTCTTACCGAAACTTCCACCAGCACTTTGATCCCTTCTCACACGAATGGGTCCGATGATGGACTCAGACTTCCATTTGTAAGAAGAAATGTCTCTTTTCCTTCTGGAGACACAACCTTGGTTGCAGCGAGACTGCTGGTCACCACTGTCACAGATGAAGACCATACATCGCAAGTACACGGAGCCCAGATGTCTCAAGAACTTAAAGGCATTAAACTGGAATCTTCCATTGTGTCTAGATAAGGGATGCACCTTACAAGTCTCATCTTGAGTACATCTGAAACAGAAATCGTGACACATTCATAAAATGTGCAGTTCAGTCCCTTCAAGATAGAAAAGCAGTGACACAAGGCTTCCTTTGAACCAATTTGTGGATCCAAAAATCTGACTAGAAAGATGTCTTTAGCTCAGACTACCATGAGCTAAGGTGGGGGATCTAACTCCTGGGTTAGTAATAAAGTCCCCTCCCACTCAAAAAGTCTGAGTTGTGAATTAATCAGAAAATCGATGCCGACCAAGAACGTGAACACCTTACTTTACGTACTTGCCACGAATGTGTCTAAATGACTGATACAGTTAAAATCCATCAGCATTTAGGAAAAAAAGGAAAACTGTCCTTTCAAAGTGGATCTTTCCTTTTGGGAATAAAAATCACATATACAAATTATGTTTATGTTCTAAAGGTAGAACATAACTTTGGGGCTTTGTTGAAAATAACAGATACGAAAAAGGAGAAACACAAAGCCACCTTGACAAAAAATGAATGTGTCACCAGCAAATATTTTGTGCACTTAAAATTCTAGTGGACGAGGCCCTCGTTGGTGGCACAATGGGTTAGGATGCAGCACTGCGAGCTGGCCTCAACCACTTCAGTGCATGTTCAGTGGCTCCGGAGGTGACCCACAGGGCGCAGCAGACCTCTCCTGATCCACCCGCTGCTCCGCTCAGCAGTGTGCTTCATTGATCTGCCTGTTTTGTCCCACACTGTCTTTGGTGAATCCTCTCACCGTGACCCCTGCACCTCTGGCCTGTGCACCAGTTCTGTAGCATACATAAATACATCTTTTAAAGAAATTCTAGTAGACATGGCTATGATTATAGCGTTGTTTCAATTTAAATGACTTGTAACTTGTACTCAGTAACTATGTTTTATAAAATTATTTAAATAAATTGATCATACCTCATAGTCATCCTAGGACAAATACATGTATGAATTAATCTACATGCATACAAGATATCACTTTATTGAAGTCATGATTAATTCTCTCAAAAGGCAATCAGCACCTACCCACTCTTGATTAGGTCGTAGGTCGGAGACGCAAAGTCAGACGTGGGAGAGGTGCTGCAGGTGTCAAGAAACACCACCAAATTGGGGTCGGAGCTGTGGAGACTGACTTGAACAAAGAGGGTTTGGTTCAAATTCACATCGTACGGCGACTCCAGTAAAGGCTTTTCATAAGAATCGGATACGAAAAGAGCCATGCTTGTGTTATATCTGCCCAGTGCATTTTCATTTTGGGTTATGTCGTCCTCTGTTAAATACATCATCTCCACGGTAGAATTATGCTGCATTTCACACTTGATGATAATCTGGAGATGCTTCTGACGGGTGATGACTTCAGAAGTTGGAACTGGAGAAAACGTGATGATATTGGTGTAAGTAATTGAATGATCTTCTACCTACAGAGCAAGATGAAATGTTCCATTTTCAGTCCAGGAATATTTCAGAGCATGGATGTGAATGACACTCGCATATAGAGACACAATCTCCTTAAGTCACAAGATAACTACTTTCAAGTCAGAATACCAAAATCCTTCAGTGTGTTTTTTACAAAACATTCTGGAATAGGAAGAAAAGCGTGAGCTGACAGAGACAGCTTAAATCAGACGGGCTTGAAGATAGAATGGGACAGAATTGTTTTCAATGATATTATAAACATGGGGGTTATTGCCAGTTCTATACAGACTGCGATCCAATCATATAATTTTCTTCTATAAGTAGCACTAAGTTTCTGCAGCTAACTGGGAGCTTCCGAAGTGTCGGTAAACAGACAGCTTGGGACAGTTCTCCCCTGGCTGCCTGCCCTAAAAACTCAGTGGGATAGCGTCTGTGTTCATTTTATTTTTAATTATCCTTTATTTCTGACCTACAGATTCTTTTAACATAAGCTTCATTCTTTTCAATTAAGTTGTGGTCTAATACATGTGCTGCCTAACCCTCTGGCATATAGGGACCCTGCAGGTTGGGAATATCTGAGCTCTACTAGAAAATGTAGAATAAATCACAATAATGTTTTCACCTTCTGTCTTGACAGGGGGAAAAGATGAGCAGTGAAGACACAGCCAGGAAAAAGAATAAAGCTGGATTTTGCACACGTGTTAGTGGTGAGCCGTTAGCCTTACAGCCAACATTTCCAAACACTCTCCAGTGAGTTCCTGGATTCTTTACCACTTAGGGAAGACAGCCAGCACGTAGTCCCCTGTGACTGGCATGCTGGATCAGGGGTAAGTGCACATTCATGTCTTCACGTGCTCACCACGTGCTGGGCTGCTGGGGTCTGGCAGTTGTTGGGTGAAGCAAAGGCGACCCTGCAGCCTTTGACACATCCCCGCGACTGGTGTTCACGTTACCTTTTTTATTGTGCCACATTCATCAAGAGGGATAGAAAATTCCACTACATTTGTTATTTTGGGTTTGCAAGTTGGGTCTTTCAGTTGTAAGTTGTGTCCAGCAGAGTTCAACATCGTCAGGTAGGATTTACTTATGATCATTCGCATCTTGTTGGAAGAGCAAGTTAAAGATGCTGTCAGGAAAGAAAAAGCCAACAGGGTGATGGTGCTGTGTCAGCTGGGAACTGTGGACCCGAAAGGCGGCGTGTGGGAGGGCAGGTAAGTGACACAAGAACTGGGACCACTTTGCCCTGAGGCCCGCCAGAGCCCCAGACCAGCTGTGCGCTCCTCACAATTGTTCACCGTGACCGTGCCTGCAGCTAGAGTGTCAGTCTGAGCTGTTCACTGTGTCTCTCCCCGAGGCACGGGGGAGGCAGACCCCCATCTCTACAGCAGTCTTTTTCAGGTTAATAAGCCCCCGATTTCCTCTGGCAGGAGGCACTGCACGCTACTGATTCTCAAGTTTCAAGTGATGGTGAGGTGCAGAAAGCTCCCGGCAGGCTCCCAAGAGGAGGCCCAGGTAAAGAAGCAGCCCCACCCCCAGCACCCCAGAGCGCCCCGGACTCAGGCTCCCACTCACTGGTGTTGATGTTCTCGGCGTACAGCGATGTGTAGGAGGCAGAGAAGCCCCGATAGGAGTTGGCGTAGTCTGTGGACAGCACGACGGTCAGCGAGTTGGACGAGGACTCGAAGGTGGGCGCCGTGGTGCCACACACCTTCCCCACCAGGCCCGAAGAGGTGGAGGCGCCGTCGTAAACAGCCACAAAGTCGAACCTGCAGTCTTTGTCCACCTCCAGGCTGAAAAATAGGGCCGCCCGTGAAAAACCCTTAAGCCAAGTCAGTGCATTTTCTGCAGTCCCAGCCAGCGGGCCTTGAGTGATGACGTTGTTCTTTACTTTGGTCTCTCGGGTTTATGAGCAAGACAGACCTGCGTCTCCATCAGCTTCCGACGTGACCGCAGAATCTTTGCAAAAATAGGCAGCTTTGTTCAGGGCCACGGTATTGGGAAATGGTTTCCTTTCTACCTCAGTGCTTTGAAAAGTACCTTCTGGGGCCCTCCCTGGTGGCCCAGTAGGTTAAAGTGCAGCAGTGTGAAGCAGTCTGCAGCCCCTGCAGCACGAGTTTGACCCCTGGCCAGGGAGTGACCCACAGGGCACAGCAGACCTGTCCTGACCCGCCCGCTGCTCCCCTCAGCAGTGTACTTCAGTCAGTCTGTCTGTTCTGCTCCCCACTCTGCCTCTGGTGAATCCTCTCAAGCCCCCCTTCCCCCCGCCAAACACACTCCTCTGGCCTGTACCCCAGTTCTGTAAGCATAAATAAATTTTAAAAGGGAAGAAAAGCACTATCCTGCAGGGAGGATCTTGTGATGGTTTCTCATCCCTGGCCCCCCATTTGCCAGGGGAGTGCACTCTGGCACTGCCTTCGCTCCCCCAGAGAGGCAGGCTCCGTACTTACAGAATATCTTTGATTTTTAATTTTATCTTGTAGCCCTCATCCACCTGTATGTGCCACACACAATAAGCCAGTTCAGGGTGCGGCTTTGGGTAAGAGGGGCTGGTAAAGGAACCTTCCGTCCCATCCAGGTAACCACCGCAATTTGGAATAGCTACGAGAGGAAACAGAGGCTGTAAATCGGGATGCAGACTTTCCAGGATTTCCTGGTTGTGCCTGGAGCACACTCCCCTCCCCCCCCCCACTTTATTCCACCCCTCCTTGGCACCAATAGCAGGATCTTTATTGCTGGCTTTTGTGCCTATAGCTGTGGGGAGGAGAGTGAGTCCTTAACAGACCCGAGTCTTATTTAAGGTCTCTCACAGCTGCAGAGATGCTCCATTGCCCAGACTGAGCCTGAGACAATAAAATCACTCTTGGGACCGGCTGCACCCTGCTTTCCAGGCCCCTGACTCCCGGCTGTGCAGCTGACTCTTGTGCACCTCCATCAGAGGACCCCGCTCTGCTGGGTGGGGCCTCTGAAAACAGACTCAGACACAGGGCACAGGACCCAGGCAAAAGCCAGTGTCACCTTTGTACAAAGGGTGTGAAAATGGGAACTTACAGGAGCCGGGAGAGAAAAAATAGTAGAAGACGAAGGCAGTCCTCTGAATACTGGCAGCGTCGGTGACGATCCGAAAGGTCAGGGAGTTGGAAGATGACTCAAAGACAGGAATGTACTGACTCTTGCTGCACACCCTCCCCAACAGGGCGGACCGGCTGGAGTTTCCATCAAAGACTTGAATGTATTCTCTTTCACAGCTTGCATCTGAGTCGAGCCTGGGAGCAGAGGCACCTGTAGCTACAGACCAGCCACCAGCCGGGGAGAGGTGGGTGGGGGTGTTGCAGCTTCACCCAGCAGACCAAACCCTCCATGCCGTGCTCACATGGTCACCTGAGTGACCCACTGAGCAGCTCCGTGAAGTCAAACATGACCCCAGGGCTCTGCTTCTCCGGTTTCCGCTGGCCCTGTTCCCTGGGCCCTTGCGGGTGCTGGGGTAGAGACTTCTGGTATACCTTTGTCCCCTTTGACATCTAAAATGAGCACCCCTCAAGGTAAAGGAAATGTGGCGCTTCCCGCATTCCCCTTCTGGTTGGGGCAAGCCGGTGTGAGCTGGGGCCTCGCAGTCCTCCCTTAGGTGTTGCTGGGAGCTGTAGTTTCAGTGACTGGAGTAGGGGGTGGAGTCCACAAAACCTGTATCTGCAGCGTTCGTTCAGGACGTCCCTAACACTTCCTGGCCTCTCATCACGGCTGCCTCCTCCTCCGGAGAAACCAGAGAAGCCACGGCTCCCTCCCTCCCCCGCCCCACACCACACAGGGGCCAGGATTTCTGTCCGTTCTGGTAGGGTCTCCCAAATGCCCTCAGAAGACATATTTCTATGATGTCCTAGGAGAGGAAACACAAGAGTGGACAGATCTGGAGCCTCCTTCCACCTGGTGTCTGCAGGGTAACTTTGGGGATGTGATTTAGCCTTTCTAGGACTCAGCTTTCTGGTCTGTACAACAGGGCCATTGCATCTGCTCTGTCAGATGTCAGGACAGGGGTCGTATGCTGGCAGGAGCAGTACCCCGGGCTGCTGCCCCCCCGGAGGTGCCCACAAACATCAGCCATGATTGTGCCCTCACCGAGCTCTTCCCAGGCTGCTGATCTCTCTTCTCTCTTCTTACACATGAAGAATGGCCCAGCTCACCAGGGCCAGAAATGTGAGTCCCCCTTCTCTTGCTTCCTCAAGGGGCGAGGAAAGTCACTCTAAGCTCCACGCTAGAGGGCGTGTCTCAGCTCGTGACTCGTGGCCCAGAACCGACAGCCGCTTCACCCAGGAACTTGCTCCTGTGCAAACGCCCTGACCTCACCACCCCGTGAATCCACCTGTGCTTTGAGGAAACTGTCCAGGTCTTCTTTTGACAGAGCCTCCCCCACGTGAACAAGGTCACCCGGTCTCGCCAGGGACTGCGGCCTCTACTTACTGGAAGTGGGAAAAGATGATCCTGATGCTCTTTTGCTCTGGCCTCTCTATTGTCCAGGTGCAGTCCTCATTGGGCTTGAGTTGCAGGAGCAGAGCTTTGTGGACCTCAGACTGGCTAGCGCCCCCCAGACTGGCCGTGCAACTTGATTTGCCTGACAGAGACCACAGTTGGTACTGAGGAGTCACCAGTTCCCACCCTGGGACCCCCAGCCCTGCATGTCCAGGAGCAGGATCCTTCCTGCCACAGGTACTGTCCGGACAGTCACTGCGCACAGTCCTTAGGTCACCCCAAAGCAAGCTGGCCATAACCAGTATCATCCCTTGGGGCCCTTTCTAGGGGAGAAAGTATTTATGAATTCTTTACAAATGGTGCATAAGAGAATATAGGCTAAAATAGGACTTGAAAAAAGATAGTTATGGAGAGGGGTTTATGCATAGACTACGTAAAGACCTCATACAACACAATAATTAAAATACAAGTTCATCCGATTCAAAATGGGCAAAAGGTCAACACAGGTCATTCGCCAAAGGCATAAGTGGCTGATGAACAGGTGTCGGGAGACTCACCAGCAGGGGACACAAGTCGGAATCACTGCGAGAACCCTCTTCCCATGGGCAAGGATGGAAATGAGCGTCGGAAAATAGCAAGAATGGCCCGGGATGGGGGGGGAGTTGGAACCTGCCGACACCTCTCTCAGGGATGGGAAACGGAGCAGCTGCTGGGAGAAGAGTCTGGCTCCTCCTCCAGTGATTAAACAGTTACGCTGCCAGCAGCACCCCAGGGGCACATCTCCAGCGGAAGTGGCACAGGTGTCCACACAAAACCATTCACAGGAGCGCAAGTGAAAATAACCAATGCTCATCAGCTCTTGAATCAGTAAATAAAACACCGTCTCTCCACACAATGGGATGTGATTTGGCAGCCTGAGAATCCGCCGACACGTGTGTGGCCTGGCTTCCTTTACAGGAAATGTCAGGTGGCCAAGTCTGTAGTCTCTGTCTCCCTTTTTTTTTTTTTTTTTAAGATTTATTTGTGCATACAGAACTGGGGTACAGGGCAGAGGTGCAGCGGTGAGAGGGTACCCCAGAGACAGAGCAGGGAGCAGAACAGGCCAACTGATGAAGGGAGCAGCGGGGAGACAGGAGAGGTCTGCTGTGCCCTGTGGGTCACTCCCTGGCCGCTGCTGGAACTCGTGCTGCAGCGGCTGCAGGTCGCCTCATAGTGCAGCGCTTTAACCCGCTGGCCACCAAGGAAGCCCGGGACCTTTTTCTCTTTAGTAGATCCTAGGAGCTAGTCTGGCTTTTAAACTGAGATAGAAAAATGAGCAAAATGAAGAATGATGTAAAAATAAATTTAAAAAAACAAGTTGCCAAAGAGCCTTACCGTATAAAGTGGAAATTTTTATTTGCTTGTTACAAATATGTCAGTGTCCACTAGGGATATTTTTGTTTGCCTTTAAGATTACTCCTAAGTATTCATTTTTAGCAGTGAAATCACCTACTAAACTCCTTGTGCTTAGATATTTTCATGTAGATTGCTGTATGCATCAGGAAAAAAATCTTACTATTCATTCAAAATCCTATCAAGAGCATCACTGCAAGTATTCTCTGCAGGGGCAGGTTTGATATAACCCTATCACCCAGGGAGGCCATCATTAACGATTTCTTGTAAATACTTCCAGAGGTATTCCTGCTAAAATTCCAGCTTTGATATTTTCATGTAGCTTGCCATGTGGGTCAGAAAAAAAAAAAAAAAAAAAGCTTAGTATTAATTCCAAATCCTGTCAAAAGCACAGCCTCAAGAATCCTCTGCAGGCGCAGGTTGCTCTTTTGGTTGAGAACACTGGTCCAGTTTCTTACCTTCAGACCCAGTGGAATGCAGCTGGGCCAGGGCTGACACGATGAAAAGGGCCAAAGGGGCGAGCCTCCTCGAAGCCTCCATCTTCGAGGGCAGGAACCGCCGTTGGCGCGAGGGCGCTTTTATATTCTCTGTGTTCTCTAAGTGCACATCTAGTTTCATAAGCTCCCTGGCAACTCCAGGGAACTGTGTGAGTTTAAGCCCGAAAAGAGTAGATTCAGGTGAGAATAGAGCAGCTGCGTGGCTGGTTTATTATCAATAATCAATGTTTCCACTCCCCAGCTCATTCTGGAGGCTCAGACTGTACCCAAGCGGAGGCGTCGGGGCTCTCCAGCACCGGGCGGGCACCTGAGCGCTGCCTGCAGGCCCGGCGCAGAGAGGTGCCTTTGTCCTGTGGTTTGCTTCGATCACAAAGAGGTGGTCACGGACAGCTGAAGCCTTCACGGCACCTCTCCCAGAGTGCAAGCCCTGGGGGGTCCAAACGTCCAGCTGGGCGAGATGGGTGGTGTGGACCCTGGACCAGCTCTGAGTCCAGCTGGGTGACTCAGAGGCCTGCCAGGGGGCTGCCTGTGAGAGGAGGGAGAAGGTGGCACCGGACAGGGAGGAAAAAGAAAGGCCAGGTCCAGATCCAACCTCCAGGGATAACTGACTGGTTATGTCCAGAGAGCCTGAAGCAGCTGAAGCATATCCCAGTGTCCGACACAGTGAGGAAGCTGTGCTCCTCAGGTGTGTCGATGAGGGAAGGCCCACTTTTCACTCATTCACTCAAGCACTCACTCAACAAGTACTCATGAGCTGCTATCTCAGGACCTGAGGATATAGAATAAGTTTTGAGAAGCCATCGTCCCTGTCCCCGGGAAACTTATTTGTTCTAAGTGGGGGAATGGACGACAAACAAGACAAATGATTACAAATACAGAGGTGGGATGGAGTGTCTTGGGGAGTGGAGGGTGGGGAAAATGGCATCTTGAGATGTAAATTGAGCAGACATAGAAAGAGGCATTCACTGGTGGCCTGGGCCTGGGAATGTGTTTTAGAAGGGTGATGCAAAGGTCCTGAGGCAGGAACCAGCTTGCAGAACAGGGCAAGGTAAGCCATTGTGGTGTGTGTCTCAGTGGGAGGTGGGAGGAGAGAATGAAAGGGAAAACAGGTAATGGGCCTGTAGGTCAAATGAGAAGCTGGAATTTTATTCGACGTTTAATTGGAAACGTTTTGAGCAGAAAAACGGTAACTAATTTGTAAGAACGTTCCCAGCAGCTCTGTGGAGGTGATGATAGGTAGGGACCAGAACTTCTGGGTTGAAACCTTTCCTGGTTGCCCTCAAGCCGTAAACGTTGCTCTTTCCTGCAGCCCAGGAGCCCTCGTTGGGCTCTAGACTGTGTGGGGCTCCTGGGAGAGGACAGGCCAGGACTGGACCGGGGGTCGATTCCTGGTCGGAATCCTGGGCCAAGTGCCGCAGCAGCCAGGCCAGTACCTGGGACCTGGGGAGCTGTGGTCACAAGGAGCCTGTATGGTTCCTCTTGGTTCCTGTCCCGGGGAGACGTCTTCTAGTGTTGGCCATGTGCCAGGTGGACACAGGTGCCTGGTGTTAGAAAAAGTGGGAGGAAGGGAGCACAGAGGCCTGTGTTTGTATTAAAAAGATCTAAGGAGGAAAGTTGCTTCTGCAGATCTGCACGGTGGCAGGAGGAGAAACCTCGGGTTGCCTATGTCCCTTTCACACCGCCAAGCTCAACGCCGTGGACAACTTATACCTATGGAAATCCCACTGGCTGTCCGCACTCTGGGATGAATGGACTGCCCCTTCAGGACAGGGAACATAAAACACTGTGAGATTGAATGAAGCCCTCAGAAGCACAACTGCTAGATGAACTAGCATGGACAGTTTAGCTGGGTCTAAAATTCAAAGCCTTTGAGACCAATATTTTTTCTGCTGGGATTGGAGACCTTCTACTGTAACTCTTCTTCTATCACAGTATTGTTTCTCCAGTTTCCTGGAGAAATCAGACGGCAATGAGAGAGGTGGAGAGAGAGATTACTTGTCACCTCGGTGGGATCAGTCCCAAAGGGCTGAGCCCCAAATTACAGGAACAGTGGGATTTTACATAGGTTGTGTGAGGAATCTTGGCACCCCATCCATCACAGCATAAGCATCTTTATCACTTGGGAAGGGGTCAGGGGAGCCCCAGCTACTGCTGTGGACAAGCAGGAACTTTCTGTCTCAGCAAGCAGCAGAATCCACGCAATAGACTCCCCCAAGCAGCCGCCCGGGGGGAAGTGGCAGAATGTAAGCAGCAGCCTTGGGAAGCTTTCTGCTTTAATAGTACAAGCGAGTTACCCCAAATCACAATGTAAGTATTACACACATTTAAGTAACAGATAACAAAACAACAAAAGGAGGCAGGAAGATCCTTTTCAAGATGGATTTATTTAAAAGTACATAAATATATAGTACATAATATAAACATTAACACTGGATTTGAATAATCAAACGCCCTACAAGGAAAGAAATACTGCTGTGGAAGATGAGGGCCCACCTTCGTCAGAGGCCCTCGTTTACATCACACAGGCATGGTGGCATGGTCTCAAAGTTGCCATACAAGCTACAGTCGTCACAGCACCTGAGGTTAGGGTAAGATACAGGGGTGATGGCTGTGACCCCAGTGACCTTTTCCTGGTGACAAAGCCTGGATTATTTAAGGACAAACAGCCAGATAACATTGGAGGTCTTAAAAAAAGACAGAAACAACAGAGGGTTTGAGAAGTTTTCTTCTCAGTCCATTAGCTACCATTGGCAAGGGGGTCAGGGGAGTTCAGGGCTGGAGCCAAGCAAATGCACGTGCCCGGGTGCCCACCCACCCTGCCCCCATCCCCACCCAGTCCCTCCTAAGATTGCTCCATGGACCATCTGGGCACAGCAAAGGAGGGGCTGTGGTGCGGATCAGCCAGCGCAGGCCCGGGGCTGCCAGCCAGAGCATGCTGGGAAGGTGCCCCGTGGGGCCTCCCAGCTTCGGGGCCTGACCTCCCACTCCCAGCTCCGCTTCCCTGCAGCGGGAGCACCGCTGCCTGGCAGCCCAGCTTCCTGACTGGAAGGAGCTCCTCCCCCAATCTAGTTCTCTCTTGTCTGGTCTACACCCCCTCATCCGGTATGTCCAAGGCCCTTCATTCCGCTCGGCCTCCCGGGAGCCCTCGAGGCCACCTCGCTGTCCCCAAGGCCATGGTTGTGGAGGGGAGACACCCAGGGCTCCCCACAGGCAGGAGGGCGCAGATTCAGCCGTCCTCGGGTGAATGTGAGGCAGGGACCCGGTCGCAGAGCCCCCAGGGTCCAGCTTGCAGGGCCCGAGGGGGCCGGCGCAGGCCCTTGGTGAAGTCGAGTGACCGCAGGGCCATCCGCTGACAACACCCTGCCTGTGAGCTCACCAGTCGGGGCCGGGAGGGAGAAGCCGGAGTCCACACTCGCCTGCCTGCGCTTTTCCTGCCCGCCCGCCATCCCGGCCCCCCTGGGCTTGGCCGCCTGCTGCAGCAAGGCACCCGGGGGTCCCATCTTAGGGGGCTCAGCCCGCTGACCCATGCTACTCACCTGAGTGCGTAGGACACTTTGCGGTAAAGACAGATGACGACACACATGAGTATGATCATGGTTGTCAGGATACCGCCAGCAATGCAGAACATGAGGATTGTTTTGATCTTCGAAGCGGTATCTATGCAGAGGAGAGGGCGACAGTGAACACGGCCCCTCACCCCGCAGGGCCCCCAGCAGCCTCAGTGAGCTTCCTCTAGTGGAGGAAGAATGAGCCCCAAACCACAGACTCATCTGTGTGTAGCACACCCAAGTCTGCCCAGAGAGGCCTAGGATCTAAGTAGGCCCACAGAGGGGCTGGGGTGGGGTGCAGGGCTACCGATAACAAAAGGCTGAGCTGCAAAATTTGAAGAGAAGAAAGGAAAGAAATTAGAGGACCTTCCCATTCCACAAGTAGTCACGGCAGCTGTCACTAGCAAACAGGACTGTGCTTGAGCCAGGGCTTTGACTTCCAGCAGTAGTGACCCCCAAAACATGTTCATTTGCAGAAGTAAAGCTAACTACCCCCTCCCCGTTATTAATCTCAGCCTTTATCTCTCCCTGAGAACTGTCTTTGTTCCTGCTAGATACTAAATCCTCCCAGGATATCCAATATGTCTGGAATATATCATCTGTTTAAATCCCTGGAACTGCAGAAAATTTAGCTAGGAAAGAAAAATAATCAAACTGCCAAAGGAGCTTACCAGGGTCTACGTTCTGGAAGCTAGATGAAAGCGGAATGTGAAAAAAAATTACAATTAAAATAAACTTGAGGGAAGAGTACATTCTCTTGGGAATTTCTCAACCCTTTAATTTGTGAAAGAAAAGTCTAAGAAATCAAAAGTTTAAAGAGCTGTCTTTGTGAAGCGCCGTCTCTGCCAAGCGCCGTCTCTGCCAGACCTAGCAGAATGGACAGCCGCTGGCCAGTGTGAGCCTCTGCGCAGGCCAGGCCCCCAGGCTGTGTGACATCAACTGTCTGGCCACCCAGCCCTTCCCTGGAGTTCTGAATCCCTGGAGTTCTGAATTCCATTCCCTGTTGTCATACACTTACCACCAACGGAAATAGGAGTGTCTTTTCACCTCAGTCTCACCCTGTCAGGTTTTGAATCCTTCAGAGAACTAAGGTTTGCCTATTCACTAAAGGCCAATTTGGGATTTCAATAAGATAAAATAACAGGGATGTGGGGAGGTGAATGTGAAAAGCTACTCATTATTGAAAAGGTCAATTATAGAACACTGAAGTAATAGGCTGTTGCCACCATTTAACAGGATTCAGATATAGTTCAGATATAGTTCAATGTGACTATAGAAAGTCACATTGAGACATAATAGTAGAGACTACTGTAAGGGAACAGGTGGAGCACCCCAAGCCAGCTGGACTGCGAAAGGAGCTTTTGAGCACCCCCCCCCAAAAAAAGGTCAACTCCATGGAAGGAGTTGGAGCTTTCTCAGGGGTTCACTCCATCTGAGACAACCTCTTCTAATTCTCCTTGGAGCCCCCAGTCACTCTCACTGGGCGGGACCCTTT